TTCTGAAAAAGAGTGTAATAACGGAAGTAATGTGTTTTCAAGGAAGAACCCATTAATAAGTAGAAAAAACACTTTGACAATGAACTTTTGTTTTCATAGTTCTTGTGTGACCTTTAGTTGTGGAGTAGACTTTAAGTAAGTTAAAATTTTGAATGGTGGTTTAGCAATAATATCAGTTACGATATGTAGCATCGAAGGGATTTCGGATCTATGTTATTGTCTTGTAGTCCAATTTGAACCGTTCGAAATCTTCATGCTGTTAAATTTTCTACTTTGCCAACGGAAAAGACCATTATTAACAAACATCAATAAAGTCTGACATTAATGTCACAAAACTTTTAGCCGGCGAATTTATTATAATAAAGTAGTGGAAAATGATTGTTCATATGTAATCATGGACCACTAAGATAATGTTGTAGCGTTAAATTAAAGTCGTGTGAATCATTTCATATCTTTAAAAGATCGATCGAAATATTTGATATCTGCAAACATTTCATCACTGCTAATCAACTCTTATACTATTTATCACTGTAGATTTGGTTGATTTGCATTGTCGACTATTTTTCATGAAAGAACAATGGAAGGTAGGGTCTCCAACGTTTATGTTCGTGTTCATTTATGTTCGTGTTCGTTTATGTTCGTTTATTTATTAAATGAACGAACATGAACAAGTTATATTCTTTAATAAACGAACATGAGCAAAAAAAATTTGTTCGTTTATATTCGTGTTCGTTTATGTTCGTTTATTTATTAAATGAACGAACATGAACATACAATTAGCTTTAGTGAAAACGAGTCCCCAACATCACATACCAATGTCTCTTTTTTATTGATATATAATAAATTCCGAAATAGAAACTGTGGCATGCAATGAAAACACGCTTCGGAGAATACAAGACTTACAAAAAGGTTAACTTTATTCTATTTGATCTTACCCATTATTGATCATAAAGTCATAATCTACTTTTAAATAATATGAGATATTATATGTTTAAAATATTTTTTTAATTATTAATAATATATATATATATATATATATATATAAATGTAATTATTTAAATTTAAAATTTTAAAAAGAATAAATTTTTAAACTACTAAGATCATTAAATAGATTCAACTTGTTACATACTCTTATTAGTTTTTTCGATAAGTTATAAGATGTTAATTAGTTGACATTTGGATTATAAATCAGGTTAAAAGCTGGATTCCACTCAACACATCAGTGTGGGTCAAAAGAGGGCAATTAGGTAGGCTCATAGTCTTCTTGGTTTAGTTGATTTGTTTCCCATCAACCTTTTCATCATTAATAAATATATATTAGTGATTTGCTATGTTTTATTTTAACGAATAAAATAATGTCTGAAACCTATTTAACTTTCTATTTTTGAAATGGGAAATATTTTAATAAAGAATTAGAAAGTGATAAATTTTTAGTTAACAATTAATATATTGTTCTATAAAAAAATAAATTTAGCGGCAGCTTCAATAATCTGTTTACTCGCTGATCGCAATTCACGTGGGTCAAAAAAGAAACAGTAAAAATAATAAAAATGCAACAATATTTATATACCAACGTTTTTCATTGAGGTATTATTTAAAGATAAAACAGTTATAAAAGAAAAGTAGATAGAAAATGTGGAGGAAGAACAAAGAAGTAAGGAATCGGGTTGGCTTTGATTCTTTTGTTTTCAAAGACCCCTCACCCGATTCAATATATAACTTAAAAATTCGACCTGACCCGAAATAATAAAAAAATATTTTTATCCAATAAAAACAATGACTTAATTGAAGAAAAAAATAATATATAGAGGGATATTATTGTAATTATTTATAAATATTTAAATGTAATATTATATATATTTTCGGGTCGATTATTTTTAACTCTAAATCCGAATCCAAACCGACCCGACCCAAATAGCACATTAAAAAAACCCGACCCAAACCTGAAATTTTTTAAAAAAATCCTATCTGATCAGGTCGAGTCGGGTTGAAACCCGTCGGGTTCAGATATCATGCCCATCCTTACCTAACAGTGTACCTACTCTTTTTTTCATATAACCTATTAGTATAAGGTTAATTTAGTTATTTACATTTTTATTATCATTACAAAAGATTTGGTGGTATGCGCTAATCATTGGATTTTGAAATATTTGAAGAAAACCGTTGAAATAAAATTTGAAATACTTGTCTCAGATTTTTGTTTAACATTCTATATTAACATGTGATATTTATTGTAGTATTTTCTAATTTATTAGTATGTTTTTTAATAATATGGAGGATTATAGAATACAAATTTACATAACCCTTGTCTCTCTCCTCTCTGCTCTTTTTTTTTCTTTATATTTTTTGTCATTTTTTAAATCAAATCAATTTTCATTCTTTCATATTATGTAACTAAATGTGACATCGATTTTGATGTTGATTTTCGACAGTCAGTTGTTTTTTTTTTATTTTTTAAATTTTTAATAAGAATAATTTTATTTGTGTGACACGTTTATTTATATATTTATGACACGTTTTCTCTATCTTTTAATAGTTTTGGTTGTTTGACTGTTATTTTCGTTTATTTTTTTTCTCATGGTTGGATTTGACATCGCCACGACTGAGCAAGATGTCATTTATTTGTTATCATATTGATCTTCCCTGCTTTGGACCCTCGGATTGATTTGGATATACGTTTTGTGTTCGTGGATAGTTTTCTCACGTCACTTAACTCTTATTTGCGATTTATCGGTGATCTTTCAATAACTTCATCCATTTTTACGGTCTGTTTATCGAAGCAGTCAGATTAGTTCGTATCTTTATTTTGTTCGAGCATTTTAGTTAGGTTTTTTAACATTTTCGTTCTTTGATCCTTGTGTGATCTTGTTGACTAGTTTTTACGTTAATGGTTATATGAAAATGTTTTAATTATAATTTAGTTTACGTTTATTGTTATGTTTGTAAATATTCATTGCAATTATAAATATTTTATATTTTTAATAAAACTAGTGACTTTATTTCAAAAATAATAGTATGGAGGATTATAAGATGATATTTGTTTAAATTTTTTTAAATATCTTGATAACACATACATTCTGTCAATGCAATTGCACGAATTCAAAACCTATAAAAAATAATATTTTTTTACTATTAATATCGGGTCAAACGAGGATTTTCAACCCAAAAAAAAATTGAACGAATTTTAAATCAATTGAAACTCTTCTAAAATATAATGAATGTACGGGCAAATAAACTTATTTTTCGGACCGAGTTTAGATAAGCTAAAAACTCAACCCGAATTATATTATCTATATTTTAAGCATAGCTATTGATAAAATTAAAATATTTAACTCGTTCATACAACAAAATGCATCATTCATATTTGTTTTATGATACATAAAAATTGATTTTTTTTAGTTCCTGATTATTGTTTATAATAATAGCATCTTCAAATTTTGAATTTATATTTTCTTTAGAATACAAATAAGTATTAAAAAATAAATTTGATATCATTTTATAATAGATATTAGGGTAAACTACTCATTTAGTACTTAAACTATCAGTTTTTGTTCGTTTTAGTACCTAAACTTTTAATTTTTTCAAAATAATATATAACATTTAGTTTTTATTTCATTTTAGTACCTCAAGATTAAAAACTTAACAGGTGATTTGCACATGGCACCTTTTTATAGGTAAATTGCATCATCCACTATTCAACTATCTTCTCAGTCTTATTTTGGTCACTAAAATTAATTTTTTTAACTTAATTACTTATCTTTCAAATTATTAATAAAATAATAATAAAAATATCATATCATAAAGATTATTAATAAAACAAATTAGAGTGATTAAATAGGAGCAATTTAAAAGTTGAGTAGTTAAATTGCAACTTTTTAAACTTTAGTATTAAAACAGGAGTGAGATGATAGATGAGTAATAAATGATGTAATTTACCCATAAAAATATCGTTAACTTTTTAACAATGAAGTACTAAAATGAAATAAAAACAAAACATTAGATATGATTTTGAATTTTTTTTTTAAAAAAATTTAAGTATTAAAACAGACCAAAATTAATTGTTTAAATATTAAACGTATAATTTACTCTAGATATCAACGTGAATTTAAAAATAATTGACATATTTTTAAAACCGTCTAACCCCCCCCCAAAAGAAATTAATTTGTAAGATTTTATAAATTCTTACATCATAATCTATATTTTTCAACATTAATTAGTAAATATTTAAAACCTTAAATAAAAATAAATATATAATATTACTTGTACTCAATTAATAGAAGAAGGTAAGTGTTTGGGTGCTTAAAATTGAAAAGTTTTGGATCTTAGAAGTTCTAAAACCGTCCAATTAATGTTAGAATGGGTTTAGATGAGTAGGCTTCAATTAAAGGTAAATACATGTGTAGGTAATTTACAATATAAAACTCTATTAAATCGCAATAAAATTATTTTGGGTTTACTTTACATTCCATTTTAGCTTTCTGAAATTTCCAAGAAAAAAAACAGATAAAAGTAATTATTTAAAAAAAAAAGGAAAAAGAAAGATGAATATTAACAAACCCACTAAAACAATGAGATAGCGAGTAAGAGGTCGGAAATGGAATGTGCCGAAAAAAAGTAGCAGTGGCACTTATATTCAAAGATTAAACAAATGGAATCGGTGCAACCTTTTATATTTAAATTACATATTAAATATAAAAAAATTATATGATATACAAATCTGTTTATTTTAAGTTTAAAATTTAAGATTTAGAATTAAAATAAATATTTTATGTAAAATAAAAATAGAAAAATGTATTAATAATCCTTGGGAAAATGTATTAATAAAAGCGGTGAACGCGTACATTATCACCGGCATCTTATATAAGCTACGATTTATGCAGAAGCAAAGAAAAGCACGATTTAGTTCAGATGGAAATATCGTGGAAAGTGTTCTCGTGTTCATTAAGTCTTGTTCTTTGGCTATAAAACATAATTATTACCTCTAGCCCCTTTGATTGATCTAAGTTCCTTTGTAACTTTCCTGCGTACTTGTGGAGCAAATTAAGTACACTATCGTGTTACTATAAAATGAAGTTCGGGAAAGAATTTGCTGCTCAAATGGTGCCTGAATGGCAGGAAGCTTACGTGGATTACAGTTCGTTGAAGACGTGTTTGAAAGAAATCCATCGTCGGAAACAACAGAATCGGGAGCCGGATACCCAAGCTCGGCTTCAACGAGCCTTGACGCTTTATAGAAGCTTCAGCGGTTTGAATCGCACACAAAACAGACGTGCGAGTTCTTTCGACGATCACGATGTTGAAAGCCAAACGATTCTCGTGAATTCTGTGCGAGGAAATGGCTCGGGGAAGTACGAGACCACTTTTCTCATGGTTACAGAAGAAGGAGCTGAATACGAGCAAGAGTTCTTTAAAAAGCTCGATAATGAGTTGAATAAAGTTGACGAGTTTTATAGATCTAAGGTGAAGGAAGTAATGGTTGAAGCCGATGCACTCACTGATCAAATGCATGCTTTAATTGCTTTTCGGATAAAAGCTGATAAATTAGAGGAGGGGTTTGTTTCTGGTTCTAGTGACCGTAAGTTCTTCAGAAATTGTTTTTTATTTCCAAGTTGAGAGATTTTGTAATTCATATCCATGGCTTCATTTGCAGAAATCATGATTCACATGAACGAGTTACAGGGAACGACTGATGTTAAACAATCCAACAATGGCTGCCAAGAGATCCAAGAAGATGACCCCAAGAAATTTCCCAGTATTAGACTTGCTCCACAAGAGGTGTTGAATCATGTGAAGTTGAATCCAGCTACTTCAACACCTGCTAAAATGAATTTCAACAGGAAGAATCTAAAGAAAATCGAAAACCAATTGAAACGTGCCTTTATTGAATTTTATTACAAGCTTCGGCTTCTCAAGAACTACAGGTAAACAATGGCTAAAAACCAGTTATAAATATTTGGTTGCTTTTTCTTTCTAACTTTTTACATTGTATGCTGATTGATCTATGATACTTGTGTCTGAAAACAGCTTCTTAAATGTGCTAGCATTCTCTAAAATCTTGAAGAAATATGATAAGGTATGATTCATAGGCCTTCTTAACATCAAACACAATCCGGTGCTGTTGGTATTGATGGTTCTCCCTTCATGGCTCTCAGATGGCACTGAGAAGAGCATCAAAGTATTATATGAGGACACTGGATGATTCTTATCTTGGTAACTCCGACGAGGTAGGTGGCTTCTCAGTTCAAAAAGATCGGATAACATCGGAGAGTTCTATCGCAGAACGTTTATTGTTTCAGGTAACAAAGCTAATGGAGAGGGTTGAAGCCACATTCATCAAACATTTCTCGAATTCAAACCGGAGTAAAGGCATGAACAAGTTGAGACCAAAAAAGAAGAAAGAAAGGCATAGGATATCATTCGGCACAGGTCAGCTTTTCACTTTGAATGGCATAGGAAGATGTTTCGTTTTTTTTAACATGAAGATATTTATCGTAAAATGATCTTTCAGGCTTCTTCGCTGGCTGCACAGCGGCCCTCGTACTGGCTCTGGTATTGATTATACATGCTCGCAATATCCTCGATAAGGAAGGAAGAGCTCAGTACATGGAAAGCATGTTCCCACTATATAGTTTGTTTGGTTTCATGGTTCTGCATATGCTTATGCATGCTGGGAATATATACTTTTGGAGGAAATACAGAGTTAATTACTCCTTCATATTTGGCTTCAAGCAAGGAACAGAGCTAGGATTTCGGGAAGTTCTTCTCTTGAGTTTCGGTCTCGGAACGCTAGCACTCATTAGCGTGGTCTCCAACTTGGACATGGAAATGGATCCTAAAACCAGAGATTATAAAGCATTGACTGAACTACTCCCTTTAAGCTTGCTTATGGTAAAAACAAAAAACTATTTGATTTCATAATCACAAATCCGAATTCAACAAAACAATCTCCTCATCTTTTTTGCCATTTTTTTAATCTCTACCAGCTTGTGGTAATTGTATTACTCTGTCCTTTCAACATCCTTTATCGCTCAAGTCGCTTCTTCTTGCTCACAACTTTGTTTCGTTGTATCTGTGCTCCTCTCTACGTGGTAAATATATATCGTAACTTCAATACCTTTGTTGTAGCTGAATCAGTATATTGGGGATTCATCTGTGATTTGCAACAATGATGCAGGTCCGATTTCAAGATTTTTACTTGGCAGATCAGTTTACTAGTGAGGTGCAAGCATTCAGAAGCCTGGAATTTTACATTTGTCATTATGGTTGGGGAGATTTCAAACTCAGACAAAACACATGCAGATCAAATGACATATTCAACACTTTTTACTTCATTGTAGCTGTAATCCCCTACTGGTCTCGTCTCCTCCAGGTATTTTCACTTCCGTTTCTGTTTCAATTCATTTCTCAAAAAATGAAAACAGACTTCAAGCTTTATAATCCTTGTTCAAACTGTCAGTGTGTACGAAGGTTCTACGACGAGAGAGATTCAATGCAAGCATTCAACGGATTGAAGTACTTTCTGACAATTATTGCTGTGTGTACGAGGACTGCTTATGGCCTGGACAGGGGAACCAGTTGGGAAGCATTAGCTTGGACGTTCTCAGCCATGGCAGCTATCTATGGTACTTATTGGGACCTTGTTGTCGACTGGGGGCTTCTTCAAAGGCAGTCCAAGAACCGCTGGTTGAGAGACAAGCTTCTAATCCCTTACAAAAGTGTATATTTTGGAGCAATGGTACTAAAATGAAACATATAATGTCTTCCAAAGCATGGCAGAATAGCTATCAGTTTCTAACAAAGCACATAAATGCAGGTTTTGAACGTGTTGCTGAGATTTGCGTGGTTGCAAACCGTGTTGAATCTAAATCTGTCATTGCACAGAGAAACATTGACTGCTATCGTTGCTGGTATCGAGATTATTCGACGTGGCATATGGAATTTCTTCAGGTTGGAGAATGAACATTTGAACAATGTGGGGAAATTTCGTGCGTTTAAATCGGTCCCACTGCCTTTCTACAGCGATGAGGATGAAGACCGTACGGATTAGATTGCTGCAAATATCAGGGAGATGAAGAGTAGAGAAAGCCAAGTTTTATTTTTGTTCTTCTACTTCTTTTTATAAAAGAGATGGTAATGGAAGATAGGAAACGAACTGCACATGAAAAGTTTGAGAATATTGTATATCATAATCCTCCTAAAACATGAAGACTGAGTTTTTAAACTCAAAATACATGAAAAGTTTTGTCCCGAATAAATGTGAAAGAACATCACAAATCAAACGTTTTATTCATTTGCTTACTGCTCAAGTAGGTAGAAGTTACTATTCATGTCAAGTGCCAAATTGACAAGGAAGTGGAACTAGACACAGATCATGTTTTCTTCTCAACGAAGCACCGAAAATCTCAGCCATGTCAAGATCTCGAGGTTCCATTCCATTAGGAAGCTTCCAATCAAAATGATAAAGTAGATTTGCAAGTATAAGTTCAACATTGGCAATACCATACGACATCCCAGGACACATCCTCTTTCTTGCACCAAAAGGGATTAGTTCGAAATCTGTTCATTTGTAGCTAAGTGGACATTCCATAAACCTCTCTGGTTCAAATTTGTCAGCTTCAGTCCAGTAATTTTGATTTCTTCCTATCGCCCATGTATTAACTATGACCCTATATTTGGGTGGTATCTCACATCCCATAACCTCACAACTTTCTTGGCATTCTCTGGGAAGTAGCAAAGGAGCTGGTGGGTGCAACCATAGTGTCTCTTTGATGACTAGATTGAGGTACTTCAGCTTAAAAATGGCGGATTTATTAACATCTTCTCCACCCCAAAGACTTGCCTCGCCTCTGCTTGTGCCTTTTGCATCACTTGAGGATTTCTCAACAGTTCAGACATTGTCCATTCTACTACTGAAGATGTGGTTTCAGCCCCAGCCAGGAACATGTCCTGAAATGGGATTATTGTCTCCAATGAACCATAAAAAAAAAGACTGAAAGTAAAGAATTTAATCAACACTAACCATGAGAATTGCTTTGATACCGGATGTTGATAAAGGAATTTCAAAATCTCCACGATCCTGAATATCCAGAAGGACTTGGACAAAATCATCTACTTCGTTTTCCTGTTTCATTGCAGCTTTATGTTCTTGAATGACGCTTTCGAGAATCCCATCTGCTTCTCTATGTAGTCTCCTCTGTTTAGGCCTCACAACATTGATCAAATGAAGAAATTTGATGGAAGGATAGACGTCAACAACACTGATACCTCCAAACAACTCAACAATGCCAGGAAGGAGTTTCTTGAATGCATCTTGCTGTTTGAATCTGGCCCCAAAGGCTGTTCTTGAGAGTATGCTAAGAGATAAAGAATACAACAAGTTCTTCAGGTTGATAGCCAGCCCAGATTTCGATTTTATGGTTTCTACCAAATGATGGACCTCTTCTTCCCTGATTGTTCTAAATGACTGAACTCGTTTCTGGCTCAAGAGCTCCAGCACACAAATCTTGCGTATTTGTCTACTGTAATCGCCACGGGAAAACACCATGTCTTGAAAGTTGTAGGTTATCCTCATAGCAGCATAGAGAAAGGGCCGCACAGCAAAAATGGAGTCATGAGTTTTCATGAATTATTTAGCAGCTTCAGCTGAAGAAATGACGACAGTTGGGACTTCCCCGAGTTGAAGAGGCATGAGGGGGCCATACTTGTGTAAGGTATGGCTCATAAATAAACCGGTGTACAGGGTTAATTTTGTAATTATGTACCAGGGTTTTCTATTATAAATAGAGATGTAACCTAAACCTATTATCATTGAATAAAAATTCTCTAGCGCCGCCTAGGCACCGAGGACGTAAGCACATTATCGAACCTCGTTAAAATTCTTGTGTTCTTTCGTTTACTTTGCCCGATTTATCAACAATTGGTATCAGATGTCAGGAGCAAAATTCGAAGTTGCAAAATTCGATGGTCTGGGTAACTTCGGATTATGGCAAACGAGGGTGAAGGATCTGTTGGCGCAACAGGGGATCCTGAAGGCTTTGCGACCTACAAAGCCGGCGTCGATGGAGGAGGAAGATTGGGAAGAATTGCAACAACGAGCGGCAGGAACCATACGATTATGCTTGGCGGACGAGGTTATGTCTCACGTCATGCATCTATCGTCTCCAGACGAAATTTGGAGGAAGTTGGAAAGTCAGTTTATGTCCAAATCCTTAACGACAAAACTGTATCTAAAGCAGCGGCTGTATGGGCTGAAGATGCAGGACGATCATGATTTGGCGCAACACATGAATGTCTTCAATCAAATCGTTTCTGATTTGACTCGACTTGATGTAAAAATTGAGGATGAAGACAGAGCGATGATTTTGTTGTGTTCGTTGCCTCCCTCTTACGAACACATGGTGACTACTATTACATATGGGAAAGAGAATATCAACGTTGAGGAGATTACTGCAGCCTTGTTGGCTCACAACCAGCGGAAGCAGAATGCAGGGGAAAACTCTCAAGCCGATAGCTTATATGTCAAGGGTAATCAAGACCGTGGACGGAAGCCAGAGAAGGCATGGTCTGGCAAGCGAAATTCCAGATCCAAATCTAGGGATAAAAAGACAATTCACTGTTACAAGTGCAAGGAGGCGGGACATATGAAGCGAGACTGTCCGAAGTTGAAAAAACAGACTGATGAGAAGCGTGATGTTTCATCCAAGTCTGTGAACGTGGTCGAGGATGACAATTCTGATTGCAATGAGGGTGATATATGCTTTCTATTTCAACGACTCAATTGACGGATGCGTGGATTCTTGATTCTGGATGTTCTTATCACATCACGCCAAATAGGGAATGGTTTTCGACATACAGGTCGGTTAATTCTGGTTCTGTTTATTTGGGTGATGATCAATGTTGCAATATTGTTGGTATTGGTGATATCAGAATTAAGATGTATGATGGCTCTGTTCAGACGTTGAGTGGTGTTCGACATATCCCAGATTTGAAGAAGAATTTGATTTCTTTGGACACTTTGCACAAGAATGGTTTTATCCCTAAGGCTGATGAGGATAGGGAAACCATTCAAATTGTTAAAGGTGCTTTGACTGTGATGAAAGGAAAGATGACTGCAGGAAATATTTATAGATTGTTAGGGAGTACAGTTGTAGGTGGAGTTCATTATGTTAAATCCTGTGATGATACTACAAAACTATGGCATATGCGTCTTGCTCATCTTAGTTAACGTGGTATGACAGAATTACACAAAATAAATCTGTTGCATGGTGTCAAAAGCTGTAAGCTCGATTTTTGCAAGTATTGTGTTCTTGGTAAACAGACTAAAGTCCGTTTCAAGACTGCGAAGCACACAACTCAAGGGATTCTTGATTATGTGCATTCTGATGTATGGGGGCCTTCCACGACATCGTCTTTGGGTTGATCTAGGTATTATGTTACTTTTATTGATGATTTTTCACGGAAAGTTTGGATGTATTTTTTGAAACAGAAATCTGAAGGTTTTGAGAAGTTCAAGCTGTGGAAAGGAGAGGTAGAAAACCAAAACAGGACAAAAAATCAAGTGTTCGCGGTCTGACAATGGTACGGAGTACACAGATTCACAGTTCTTACACTTCTGTAAGGAGCACGGGATTAAGAGACATTTTATAGTGCGTAAGACACCACAACAGAATGGTGTTGCGGAACGGATGAACAGGTCGTTGAATGAAAGAGCCAGATGTTTTTTTGGTTGTCCTGTTTATGTGCATGTACCTACTAATGAGAGATCCAAACTTGATGCAAAATCGAATGAGTGCATTTTTCTGGGTTACAAGAAAGGTGTCAAAGGATTCAAGTTCTGGGATCCAGTTGCGAAGAAAATTGTGATAAGTAGAGATGTTGTTTTTGATGAACAATCCATGTTGCAACAGAAGAAAGACATGACAATGGTGGATTTTGAGCAGTTTCCAGTTGAGAAACCAGAAACGTCTCAGCCGACTTCTGGTGGTTCCACTACGGATGATTTGCAGGATTATAGTCTCGCCAGAGACAGGGTGAGACGGATGAATATAAAGCCTCCAAGTAGATTGGGTTTGAAGACTTGGTCTCTTTTGCACTTTTTGTTAGCAGTGATGATCCGGTTACTTTTCATGATGATGTTACTAGTCAGGAAAACGACAAGTGGATGGCAGCCATGGTTGAGGAGATGGAGTCTTTGAATCACAATCGTACATGGGAGTTGGTTCCCCTTCCTGAGGGTAAAAAGCCGATTGGTTGCAAATGGGTGTATAAGAAGAAACCAGCAGTAACAGAAAAAGAGGGGGAGAAGTTCAAGGATCGTTTGGTAGCAAAAGGTTTTTCACAGCAGAAAGGAGTTGATTATGATGAAATCTTTTCTCCTATGGTCAGACACACTTCAATCCGAGCAGTACTTGCATTGGTGGCCAGTTGGGATTTGCATTTAGAGCAGATGGATGTTAAAACTGCTTTTTTGCATGATGATTTAGAGGAGCAGATCTACATGCGGCAACCTGAAGGTTTCACTCAACCTGGAAACGAGCATTTAGTTTGTAAATTGAAGAAATCTTTGTACGGGTTGAAACAGTCTCCAAGACAGTGGTATAAACGGTTTGACTCCTATATGATCAAGATTGGCTACAATCGATATGAGTATGATTGTTGTGTCTATGTTAAGAGCCTTGATGATGGTTCTTTTATTTTTCTATTATTGTATGTTGATGATATGTTGATTGCTGAGAAGAACATGGATGATGTTATCGGTTTGAAAACTTTATTGAGTCAGAAATTTGATATGAAAGATTTAGGTGCTGCAAAGAAAATTCTTGGAATGGAAATTTGCAGGGACAGAGACTCAAGGAAACTGTGGCTATCTCAACGGGGTTATGTTAAAAAAATGCTAGAAAGGTTTACGATGAGCAGCGCAAAACCAGTTAGCACTCCATTGGCGAACCACTTTAAGCTCTCATTAGAACAGTGCCCTAAGACAGATAAGGAAGCTGAAGATATGGCAAAGGTTCCGTATTCTAATGTTGTTGGCTGCTTGATGTATGCAATTGTATGTACCCGTCCTGATTTAGCTCATGCTGTTAGTCAAGTTTGTAAGTATATGTCTAAACCTGGTAAGCAACATTGGGAAGCAGTCAAGTGGATCTTTCGGT